CCCCCCCCCCCCCCCCCCACAAACTTTGTTTTTTTGCAGGTTAACGTTGGAGAGCAAAAAGGAGAAAAAAATAATAAAACCGGCACCGGTACCGGCGGTGCCGGTAACGATTTTGGGGCACCGGAATCGAGACCGGATGTGGCGGTACCGGTGCCGGTTCTCGGAACCGTTTCGCCGTCCCGGTTGCCGTTACGGTGCTCGGTACCGGCGGTACCGTTTCCGGTGACGGTACCAAACCGGTACCGTGTCCAGCCCTAGTTATCCATAATTCAGCCTCAGTTCGCCCCTTCACTAATGTAATTTGTTGCAACAGAACGCATGAACTTTACGTTTGCCTTCTCTACTTTATCAAATTGATCAATATGCATACATACAACTCGAGAAAGAGACATGGTTGCCCGCCCCATGGTGTAGCTTAATTAGTCAAAGGTACAAAAGCGAGTCATGTCTGAATTTGGTCCTAACAACAACGATGAATAGATCTTACACTTGGAATCCTTTTCACGTGTTTGTCATTCTTTAGTGATCAACATCAAACAAAAACTATATTCACTTCTTTCCAAAACATTGTCAAGTTCAGTTGTGGTAAGAATTTTACGATGAAATTTATCAATTTTTAAAAAATCGACGTGGTCAGACCTTGACTATAGTTCCTTAAATCCTTACTTTAAGAACTAACTACCTTGTTTCATTTTTTGAGAGATCACTCCACAAGACGCGGAGTATGAAAGCCAGAATTTAATACATTGAAAGTTGCCATCCCTAACTCTGATCTACTCCACCATATTTTTTTCATTAATCTTGCTTCAAACTTCATTATGAACACTATTGTCTTGTGACAATTTCAAAATGGGAAAGAATCTTCAAAAATTATATAATTCAATCAACTGTGGGATTCTAGTGACACCGGAAAACGGTGCCCTCCGGAGCCACTGGTTTTTTGGGCACCTCCGATGCTTCCTTCGTAAAATTGACGGTTCCTATCCCCCCTAAACCACTCTAAACCCCCCACCCTACCCCCACCCCAACCCGCCGTAAGAAATGTGTGGCTATTATGCATTGCATAATAGCCACACATTTTGTGGGGGGCTTACGGCAGGGTTGGGGTGGGGGTAAGGTGGGGGATTTAAGGGTGAGTTAAGAGGAGTAGGAACCGTCAATTTTACGAACGGAACACCAGAGGTGTCCCAAAAAACCAGTGGCACCGACGTGGCACCGTTTTCCGATGTCACTGGAACCGGACCATTCAATCAAACATTTTTTTGGGCTAAAGGTTCAAAATTTCAATTTATGCTTTATTAGTGTTAACCCCGTGCTTCGCACGGGCTCGTATACATTCTAAACATTTGACTTTCTATAAATATAATTTTATTTATTTTAGTTTTCTAATATTGACATAATATGTGTTAGATGAATATTTTCTTTAACTCTAAGATATATCTTTTTTCAAATAATATAATTTAAATATAGATGTACATGCACTAAAGATTCTATAAATATTTTCTTTAAAATTAGTAAAAGAGAAATGATTTATTGTTTTTGAAAATAATATAAATTAAAACTTTATTTTTTCAAAACATTGATAAAGTTAAAAAATATTTTATAGATATAATTTAATTATGCAAACAAAATATGTTTTAAACAGGTGGAATATATATTGTTATGTTTATTTGAAAAAAATTTTTTTATACAAAACTAATGACCATTATTGAATGAAGTACTAATGGAAATGGTTTTAATTACTAAAGCATTATAATAAAAAATGGACTAATTAAATAATGATACATCATTAGAGAATGTATATGTGGCAATATATATGTATGTATGTATATATATATGTGTGTGTGTATGTATATATGTATGTATGTATGTATATATGTGTGTGTATATATAAAAATATATAAAATATAATACGGAGTATATTTTACAATGATGATATATATGTTTATAAAATTGTTTAATATGACATTTTTTATACAAAGTATAATTATAGTAATGTTTTTTAATACTAAAATATAATATTTATTGAATGTAATACAATAAAATGTGTTAAAAGATTTTTTTAAATAATTAAATGGACTAATAAAATTTATCTATCTCATTAATGAATGACATGTGGATGCACATGTGGCATGCCGGAAAAAATACCCAAAATAATCTCAACTTTACTCGGTCTTTCAAAAATAATCCCACCTTTCACTGTGATGCATAATAATCCCAACTTTACTGAAATTTGCCAGTTTTGGGTCGCCGTTAAGTTTCTAACGGAGGGATAACGGAAATGCCCGTTTTAGACAACAAAATGAAAGTTGAGATTATTTTTGATGAATTTTTGTTTTTTAAATTTTTTTGAAATTTTTATTTAAATTTTTTGAATTACTTTCAACCTCCATTTCTTTTTCTTTTTTAAAGATTATTCTTACCTTAGAAAAAAAATAGATATAAAAAATAATGAAAATGAGAAAAATAACTAAAACCATACAAAATTAATCAAATAAATAATGTAATCAATAGAAATTAAACAGAAACTGGTAATAAATAAAATAAATATATATGGAGTCGTGAGTTTAACATTTTACAGACTATACGGAGTCTTAATGTACTATTTATTTTTTAAAAGAACAAGCCGTCCGGTAAAGTTGGAATTATCGTAGATAATTTTTTCTAAAAAATAAGAAGTGATATGTTAATACTTTGTATAATGCCTAAAATATTAAAACCCACCCATATATTTTTATTTTACTTTTTCCAATTTCAAGTTAGTTTCCATTGATTACCTTATTTATTTTATTATTTTTGTATCATTTTAGTTACATTTCTCATTTTTTCATTTTTATATCTATTGTTTTTATTTTTTAAACTAAGACTAATCTTTAAAAAAGGAAAAAGAAATGATGATGGAGGTAGAAAGTAATTTAAAAAATTTAAACGAAAATTTCAAAAAAAATTAAAAAACAAAAATTCATCAAAAATAATTCCAACTTTCATTTTGTTGCCTAAAACGGGCATTTCCGTTAACCCTCCGTTAGAAACTTAACGGCGACCCAAAACTAGAAAATTTCATTAAAGTTGGGATTATTATGCATCACAGTGAAAGATGGGATTATTTTTGAAAGACCGGGTAAAGTTAGGATTATTTTGGATAATTTTTCCTGGCATGCCACATGAAAACTATATGATTTAATCTCTAGACATCTTAGTACTTTAGTTTTTGAAAGAAAGACACGAGTATCATTATTATTAATTTGAATTCCTATTTTGCTTTAAAAATATTGAAGACTCTATTGTGGTATTTAGAACATATTTTCTTTTTAGTTAAGTATTCTTCTCAAAAGAAATTGATAAATTTATAATAACTAATAATTAATTTGATGCAAAATAGTTTTGAAACCATTTAAGACATAAAGAAAAAAATTTATAGATATTATTTTTGTAAACCTTGAGTTATATCAAGTCAGACATTCTCATCTCTTGCACCAAATATATTTTCATTTGAACATTTTAAAATTTTGTTTGGAAACAACATTTTTGATTTCCGTTAAGGTTTTGGATAGAATTTGACTAACTCTAACCTACAACATTGATGCCAAACGGACATAATTAAAATGTTGTTCCAAGATCAAGTATTCTTGAGTAAGTTGACTTTGGCTCTGTTCCGTTCAACTTATTTTTTCTGATCTGATCTGATTTTCTGTAGTTCTGATCTGATCTGGTCTGATCTGATTAGATCTGATCAGGTCTGATCTGATCCGATTGGATCTGATCTGGTCTGATCTGATTGGATCTGATCAGGTCTGATCTGATCTGATTGGATCTGATCAGGTCTGATCTGATCTGATTGGATCTGATCTGATTGGATCTCATCTAGTCTGATCTAGTTTGATTAATTATGATTTGATTTAAAATTCAAATCAATAATTTTATTTGACTTGATAATAATATAATCAATATTTTTATTTTATTATAAGTTTTTTATAAAACAAAATTAGTTAATTCATATACTAGAATAATCATTCATATTTTAATGTAATAATATTTTTTATTTTATGATTATTTTTTTCTGAAATAACAATATTGATTTACGGAGTAGTATTTTAATAATTAGTTCATATATACATTAGAATAAATATTTAATTTATATATACATCCTTATAAAAGATTAGAAGTTTAGAAACTCAAATTAGAGGTAGTAATAAAAATGTGTTTGAAAAGTATAATTAGATGACATTGTCAATGCATTTTAAAAATAATTTTTCCAGCGTCTAATTAAGGATTACTTTATCAGTTTTCTATTTAACTGGTTTCTAAAGTTTATTCTTTTTCTTTTTTAAGAAGAAGAAGAAGAAGAATAATAATAATAATAATAATAATAATAATAATAATAATAATAATAATTTTTGATTGGATGTGATCTGGTGTGATCTGATTGGAACTGATCTGATCTGATTGAATCTGGTCTGATTCGATCTGATCTGGTTTGATCTGATTTGATCTAATTTTATTAAGAATAAAAAAAAATAAGAAAAAATAAATTGAACGGAACATGGCCTTTGTATAGCTTAAAAAAAAAGTATTTTTGACTTTCTTGACTTGGGTACCCCTCTCTCTTCCTCTCTCTCAAGAATGATTCTTCCCTTTCCCAACTTCTTCAAAATGTGCACAATCAGGAATGAACTCATGAATTAGATTCCATTTCAGAAGAATCAAATTCATCCATTCCAGGTAAATCTCTGCTTCAATTTGTTTTTTTTAAATTTCATTTTGATGGATTC